CCAATCCAATTAACCCACTCCTATAATTCACCTTCATTGGTTTCTAATTATAGCACAGAAAAGTTAAATGAGATGGCAGTTAAACATATCTATAGTGCTCAGTTTAAGAATGATGCAATAGGGCTTATGAGAACAATTTTTTCCACATAAAAGGGTAAGAACCTCACTTAACATACCCACTGTGGATAAAAAAATAAGCAACAGTGACAAGTCTGATAGTCATTTGGATAATTGGCCGCCAAATGTTTAAGCTTTGTGCCTCTTCTCTACTCTAGCCAGGAGTAAGAGGCCACCTCTTCTTCTTTCAGCTGTTAGTCATAAATAGTCCCATTCCATAACACAACACAGGTTATATTTTACTTCAGATCTTCAGGCAGATTTATGTACGTTTTAAGCAATATTTAAACACCCTTCAAACATGTGGTCTTTGAACCTATCTTAGCTAATCGTGCTAATTCATGTTCACTTCTGAAGGAGGAAAGCTACAACACTAAAAACCTTGTGTTCTCTCACCATTGATGGAGGGGCTAAATTAACTTATCTGCTTTCTTCATCTCTGTTTTCATCTCTTTCTTTAAAAGGTAGTAAAAAAGATTAATAAAAATTAAAAAGGATATCATTGACTTTCTCTACACACTAGTCTTGCCATCATTTAGTTCCAACTTGTTTATCTTCCTACCACTGATTACTGAACCCAAGCACTTTTCTTGTGTATCTATCGCTTGAGTGACTTTAAAGCACCAGATGAGCTCTGTTATTAATTGAGGACAAGAACTCTGTGGAATGGTGTAACCAAAACCATATCAGTCTCATATTCTGACTCAATCAAAATAGGTCCCAATAATCCTTGCTATGCATACGTACTTGGAGATAACATCACCACCATTTCGATGTCACAATCACAATACCAAATAGTGGTATATTGAGACTGACATATATTAATAATGTGTTAAACCTACTGGGTCAAAAGAAGAATTAATTAAGGTCTTACTATATCCTCTTTTGACTAATCTGCACAAAGAGCTATTGGCTGCCTCCTTTAATTATGACATCAGTTGACATAGCCAGCCAGGCGAGGCAAAGGTTAAATTAAACTGTCTTCTAAATTCAAGAAATCTCTGGGCACCTCCTCCAAATATACAAACTGTGCTGCAAGGGGGAATGCAATATCCTTGGCATAGCTCTCAGGTCAGAAGCATCCCATTCCATGAGCAAGAAGAAAGCACCTGTCTTGCAATGCTGGCAATCGACTCTCTGGCTTGCTTTCAATTGGACAAGTGATATCATCTTGTCAAAAATTTAAAAGTCCTTCATATGTACACACACAAACACATACTTAAATGGTTACATATGTGAAATCATTATTTTACTTTAGGTGGACTGGCACATTTCTTTCACACGTTACATTTTTGTATGTAGTGTTAGAACAAATCTGGCATGACACCAGATGCTATACTTAGCACCTCATCATCAGAAAACATGATAGTGTGTTCAACCTGCGCAGCTGTCTTCCAAGGCAGTGTCCCTCAAACTTGAATGCAAGCTAAAATGGTGTTTAACTCCTGGAGATGAATTCCAAAGCAAAGTGGGTTATTTTGCAAGCTATGGGAAATTGGCAAAAATGTTGGGATTGTGATCAGATGATTTTTAACACTGAAGGGATTGCCATGCCCAGCAGGGAGCTCTTTATATACTGTATTTTTCTTCAGCTCAGAGGGTCCAGAGATGTAATTAAATTTCAGGCGTTTTCTTTAGCTAGGGACAAAAGACAGATGTCTTCTATTTCCAGAAATTAAACTGTTTGGGTTTCATACGAAGTAAACATGAACACTTTAATTTCTGGAAATAGCAGAAGTGTCCCAGCCAGCAAAGAAGCCTCATGCTGCCTATCAATTGTGCCAGTGGTGAACATGCCAGTTGAATTCTGTGAAGTGTATGTGAAGAATAAGCATAGACAACCCAGTTTAGAGATGATCTCAGCCTCTCAAGTACTCCATTTAGCCCCCAGAGACTGGGAGTGTGGATAACCTCAACAGACAATTCCTGTTACCAGGTATTCTCAACAGAGTACCTGGTAACTCACACAGAGTTCTTGGAGCAGATCCAACTGAAAAGGGCAATGTTTAAAAGGTGCAGACACTGAGGTTCTTTATAGATGAAAACAAATTTTCTTCAAGCATAGCAGTCCACTTGAATGCTGAGACTGTCAACTGAGACAGTCGTCCAGACATTGTTACCACATATGTCAACACAGCAGTCAACCAGGGAGAGACTGCAGAAGCTTTTGTGTGCTGCAGGGTCAGAAGACCAGCAGTCGTAAGATCGAATCCACGCAATGGAGTGAGCTCTCGTCGCTTTGTCCCTCTCCTCGCCAACCTAGCAGTTCGAAAGCATCTAAATGCGAGTAGATAAATAGGTAACATCTCGGTGGGAAGGTAAAACAGCATTCCCTAGTCACGCTGGCCATGTGACAAAGGAAACTGTCTTCAGACAGGTGCCGGCTCTATGGCTTGAAAAGTGGGATGAGTGCTGCCCCCTAGAGTCAGACACGACTGGACTAAAAATGTCAAGGGGAATCTTTACCTTTAACTTTTACCCCACTTTCAGGACAATATCTCCACATGGATCTATCTGACATATATATTGCTGTCACTGATACACCACCCTGAGATGATCTTATTCTTACAGGCTTTAAAACTGTTTTAAACCATTTTTGTAACAGTTTGTAACTGTTTCAAATTTATTTCATTGTTTGTTGCTTTGTTTTCTGCATTATTTTCTTGTACTGACATTGTGTTTGGGTCTATTGTCACACTTCCATTATAGCTGCCATAAGACCATTTGTATAAATACAACAAACAAAAGACTAAATAAAATATTAATTTGTCTCAAACCAGTATGAACACTGGAGTAACACCGTAATAACTTATCACTCACACTGGGTAGATAGTAGCTTATATCAACTGTAGCTTTCAAATTGTTTTCAAGGACAGTTCCGTTAGTAGATAACACACATCATCTAGGCCAAAAGCTACTGTAAAATTGTAATTTTGTATTATACAGTATAACATTTTCATTGAAAAAACTAGGATGAAAACATGATAATAAGCAATCCCGCTAATATATGTAAGGCCAAGAAAGAGTTCCCAGGAGTCTATTTTTGTTTGATTTGTATGTTACGCATGTAATTTATTTTTGGCCTGCTATGCCTGGTGGGCAACCCCTCACATGGTGATGGAGAACCTGACGTCGGATCAGAGAAGCTGGTGGAACTGTGATCACAAGATGCAAATGTCCGTTCCGATTATGAGCAGATCACCTCCCCTCACAAACATTTGTCCTTGTAGTGCTCTGAAATGGCAATAGGTGCCACAGCACATCTCTTCACCGTATTCCACAAATTCACCCATATTTCTCTCACATGTTAAATAGATTTTTTTTCTTTTCCCTGCTTTTGATACAGGCACCTAGCTGAAGGCATTACCCTTTATTTTTCCCTTCCGTCACTACAACCCCTTCCAGTCTCAAAACAATTCACTATGTTCTTCTTGCATCTACATGCATGTGGTTTCTTCTTCTTCTTCTTCTTCTTCTTCTTCTTCTTAAATCAATTACCGTAAGTTCACAGAAAAAATAAATTCCCTCCACTGTCTCAGTCCTATTATACACAAAATGTTGGAGTTTAGGGAGATCTAGAATTCCAGTCTTTGATACTTCTCTGGTAAAAACCCATGGATGAAATTGTGGAGATTTGTACCAGTCAGCAAACAGGACCGATGGACTCAGAATACTAGGCTCAGAATACAGCAGCTTCAGACAGTGCTTAGATAGAAGAAGATTATATGCTTTCTATTTTAGAGACAGAATGCTATTTTTCTTTGGCTTTTCAAAATGCTGCTTAACAGAGCCTCAGCATTAACATGTAATGGGGAAATTTGCACAAAAGCTTTTTGAGATGATTTAAGGTATTGAATATAAAATTGGTAGCAAGCAGCTTTTGATGTGTAATTGCTTGCAACCTCTATACAGTTATCATCCTTTCTCTGCCTAAATGTATTCTTCCATGAAAAAAATGTTCCAATCACTGAAAGCAACATTGCTGAGGTGTTTTTCCTTAAAACATCCAGGAATGTACTCAGACATACTCTATTGCTTCAGAAACTTCTAGATTTATAAATAATAACATGTAGGAAGATTTGTTTTCATCTAAAGTATCTCAGTGACAGAAAAATCTCATTGAAGAAGACGTATTTTACAAAATCAACTTCCTAGAGGAAAAAGTGTACATCATTTATTTTCATGTTAGCCTCTAGTCCAGGGTGAGCAATTAATTTCTATGGGGGGGGCACATAAAAAAAATCTAAACTGTGTTCGGGGGCCGAACCAACTTTACTTAAAAATAAAATGAAACAGTGATGTTATGATTGTTTTTATTTTAAACCTGGTAATATCCACAACTACTAAAGAGGTTTTTTGCAATATGTTAAAGATAAGCAACTGATCAACTTTAGATAAAAAGCTATAAATGGTTTTGATGTTCAAAACTGTCCACAGGCCAGACAGGAGCAGCTCAGGGGCCGTATGTGGCCCTCGGGCCGCACTTTGCCCAGGTCTGCTCTAGTCACTGCATTGCAACTGTAAAACACAAGGTATGCAGAAATATTTGAAATCCACATATACTCACTGTTATTGCTGCTACATTTCAGCCTATCCTAATGAACAGAGGTGTACTTTTATAACGTTTTATGCTATAGAGCAGAGGTCTCCAAACTGCAGCCAGAGGTACACATCTGACCCACCTTGCCTTTATATCCGGCCCAGGCATAGGTGTCAGGACTGGAGCCTTGCCGGAATCTGGCAACCTTAGTGCATGCAGGATCAGCCCCATCCCTCTGGGAGAACTGCTCTAAGGATTGCAGGACTGGGCCCTTTCTCTGCAGCTTTCGCCCAGCTCCTCAGGACTGCCACCTGTAGAAGCTGAGGACTAGGCTATACAAGTACAGGCCTTCACTGTGCAGGCCTTAGCCTCAGTAATGAAGGTCTGTGGCTGTGCTGATATTCCTGCTTTGCCTGCTAACCTCTTTGTTCTTGCCTTGCCTGGTGATTCCTGCTGTGCCCTGCCCTGCCTGTCATCCTTCTTGTTCCTGCCTTGCCTGGTGAGCCCTGCCTGGTTGTTCCTGCCTTGCCTCTCCTAGACCCTGATGCCTTGATATGGTTCCTCCTGGCTTTGACTTTTGGACTGTCTGATCACAATTCATGTCATCCTTCTACTCGGCTTCTGTTTGGACTCAAAACCTTAGCTGGTTGGTTTCTGCTTGGGCTATGGGGTTGGTTCTACCTTATTCCTGTGGTCTTGCTCTGGACTGGGTCCTCTTGCCTCTTCTACTGAACCCTGACAATAAGAAGAGGAGGAAAGAGGGACCCAAGTGATCCCCCACCCCTGCTGTGGGAGGTGGGGGATTGCTTCTGTCAGGCTTTGCTCCTCTTCCTATCTCTGCCTGGGCATAGGAAAGGGGACCCATGGGAAAATCACTTGGGTCCCCTTCCCTCCTCTTCCTGTGCCTGGGTGGAGATAGGAAGAGGAGCAGAGCCTGACAGAAGCTATCCCCCACTGCTATCCTCTTTACAAAGACAGCAGGGGTGGGGGATTGCTTGGCTCCCCCTTCCCTCCTTTGGCCCTCAAAAGTGTGCAAAATATATGATGTGGCCCTCATACTGAAAAGCTTGGAGACCCTGCTAGAGTATGCAAATGCCTGTTTGTATTAGATATGCAAATTATTTATTGAATGTTTCCTTAGCAGAAACCTCTGTGTTGGAAAAGCAGTTTATATTGTCTTTAGACAAATGTTTGGGTCTGATTTTGTAGCACCATACCATGCATTTTCAAACAATGCAGTGTTTTTTTTTTTAAATTATCGACTTTGTAGACATAGCCACTGGGTGGTAGATATGCTTAAAATGCCAAGTCTAGTGTCTGATCCATCATACAACTCACAGAATGAGATGAGTAACTTCAGGTTGCTATGGATACTCAAGAAGAGCATTCAGAATACCAGAGAAAGGAAAGAGACTAACTTCCCCAGTAGCAGCTACCATAACCTGAAGAAAACTCTACAGAGGTTGATACCGCATTGGACATTTCAGGAGAGAGTATATTAAATTTATTTTATTAGGCCTTGCTGGACTTATCATCCAGGGCAGGCATGTTTTGAGTCTGTGATAAATATTATGAGCATACGTACGTACGTACACACACACATACGGGGAGAGAGATGACTGATATAATATATTGTGACCTCCACTTAACTGTGATCAAACTCTTACAAGCTTCAAATAGTTTGAACTAAAAAGGGTCATAAAGAGTTGATGTCACTGGAAGGAAATGAGAATGGGGAACAGGAGATATGTTTGGATTAAATGAAAAAAGAAAAAAAAGAGCAAGATAAGGTAGAGGAAGGAGAGATGTAGATGGGCTGGTGTTAGTATTAGATGATCCAAGAAGGGTACTAGTAAATGCTAGTTTAAAGGTAGGGATGTGTGAAGTCCCCCACCTCACGTACAGGACACACAAATTTTGGCTGACTTGTCCCGTGTCCTTTACTAGCCACCAAGAAAAGAGGGGGGGAATTTCAAAGGGCAATGGACACAGGCCTCTTTGATTCCTTCTAAACTGGGGAATCCAGGGAGCTTGCTCTTTTCAATACTGTTTCCATCTTTGTTCTCTCTCTCCAATTATGGCGGGAAAATCTATTTTGGCCCTCTCTATGTTTTGAATGGAAATCCCTTGTCCTTCCCCATGCGTTATAGTTTCTCAGAAACAGAGGGCCAAAAATTTCCCATCTCTAGGCCAGGAAAGGGGAAGTTAACTGAGCAAGAACCAACTAACACAATTAGTTCCAGCTGTGTTCCTTTCAGATACTTTCCCACTTTGAAGGAGTGACTGGCAATTTCTATATGACATAAGGAGATGAGATCAGCCAGGGTTATATTAGGTGAGTTACACTTAGGTCAGTGGTATATTTCCCAAGAATTTTGGGTGCCTTCACAAAGTGTGCCACAACGCTAGGAATCACATATGACACACAAACTATTTAGCACAAGCTTTCCTGATCTAGAACATGACCTAACACCAATCAGCCAATCCAAATCATATCAGGTCATAAAATAATAAGCCCGAGATGATCTAATTTATCCCATCTGCTACATTTTATTTATTCATTTGCTTAAAATATCTTTACCCTGCCTTTCTCCTTAAAAAGGACCAAAGGTGGCTTGCATCATTAAAAACACAATTTTAAAAGCTAAAAGCAGCAAATTATTCATATGTTAAGAATCAAAGTAACATATTTAAAAAGTTAGGCAAGGATATTGCTAAAACATTTTAAAGCAACAAAAATACTAATCATTCCAATTTTAAAACTCCTCTCAGACAGCCAGTCATTAAGAGAAACCCTCCCTGAAAAGAAAAGCCTTTGCCTGCTTACGGAAGGACAGCAAAGATGGGGCCACTCTGACCAAGCATGGGAGGGAGTTTATCTCTGGAAACTCTGACTGGGAAAGCCCTCTTCCATGTGACAGATAGGGAGGCCTCTGCTGATTATCATAACACGTGGTCCCTCAGATTAACAATTGGGCTGCAGTGTTTTGGACCTGTTGATGTTTCTGAACACTTTCCAGAGGTAGCCCCATGTAGAATGAATTACTGTAATCCAGCCAGGATATAACTAAGCATGTGTCACTGTAGCCAGATCAGACCTCTCCAGGAATGGATGGAGCAGGAACACTAATTTTAACTGTGCAAGACACTCCTGTCTGCCTCCGAAACCACTTTTGTCCCTATAGTCTTGTAATAGAGTTGTCGCATTCCTCTTCTCTATCACTGCTAATGGTATTGCCATGTATTCCCCTGCACATACCTTTTCATCAGTATTCACATAGAGTTTACACCTTTTAAAAACTGAGATGTTTAAAAGGATAATTCTCACTTTCCCCTCCCTTCACCTCTCTGAATCTTCAATGTCTTATTTTCTCTTCTGCTAAACTAGCACATTTCTAGGCCATGGACGCCTTGCCAGATCGCTATGAGTAAATTGGTCTGTGCAGTGTCAATAGAGAATCTGCTCCTGAAATGGAATATAGTTTAAAAAACATATTTACCATATGTAGAGTATAAATTACAGTCTCTCCAACCCATCTTCTCTGTCAATAGAAAAATGATTGCTTTACCCTCAGTTTTCTTCACATCTCAAGGCTCTGGGTGCATATAAATGAATATTAAAGTGTGATTATTGCTAACAAGCACATGACATTTCAATATGCTTGTCTATCACCACTCCAAACATCTACTTGTTATGCTCAAGCAGATCTCATCTGCAGAATAGTTTTGCTTAAAAAACAAACAAACAACAAAAGCAGGTGTGATTTAGGTTGGGGACATCTAGAGCCCACAACATATTACAACATCCCATGTTCATCAGTCATAACTCGCAGACATTTAATCTTTGCAAAATAAAAGAAAAACTGTGATGAATGTAAGTAAGGGCAGAATAACTAGTCTTCCAGCCAAATGTTTAAGTAAGTCTGCCCCATTTTCTGGTTTCCAGTTTTTGATATTGTAGCCTTATTCAGTTGTTACTAAAGAGTGCTGCTTATATACTGCCCCATAGAACTTAAAGCTCTCTCTGGGCAATTTACAATTTCATTATGCTCACTACACTTTGCCCCCCCCCCACAAGCTAGGTACTCGATTTACCATCCTTAGAAGGATAGAAGGCCGAGTCAACCTTGAGCTGACTACCAGAGTCTATTGGAATTGAACTCAGGTCATCAGCAGAGTCTTGACTGCAGTACTGCAGTTTAACCACTGTGCCACAAGGCTCCTACTAACCCAGTTCCTGCCAACCACTTAGAGCAGCTTACCTGGTCCATCCCCCCCTTTGTTTGCTTTCTCCATGCAGACAGTAGCATATCTTATTAGTTAACCAATAAGCATGGGGGCAAAATGCCACACATATCAGCATTTCTTACACAGGTACAATATTTCATTGAAAGCTGTACCTGCCCTATTATGTGAAGAGGCTATTAGTAGCCAAAATGATTTCAAAATCCATTTTGTATCTCTTAGATAACATGCAAATTGTGACAAGCAGACTTAGATTTGCTACACACCTCTTTTAGTACCTGGATTTCCCTTTACAGCCCTTTCTGGCAGTTTTGTGAGTCGCAAAAGCTTGCCACTGTCTTCCATGCCAGGTTCTTTTTTTGATGAGGTCTTTGTAAATGGGTTGTTTTTAAATTTGTTACAGGTTGCAAGCATAAAAGCTTTGATGTTCTAGGACAAGGGTTTTCTTTCAGTTTCCCTGGGAAGATTTTGCATAACCAATATTTCCTGTTGTTGAAAGCTGTTTGTAGTATAGAAGGGATGGCAGTGACGGGGGGGGGGAGAGATTTTTTCTTCTCCTTTCTTTTTTCATAGCTCAGAAACCCTCCCTGTTTCATACTGAGACACTGTCATAAACTAGCCTGAGCAACAGCATTAATCATGCCTCCCAGTTCTTGACAGGCGAATACACACCCAGTTGTCTTGCATTCAACCATACAGGCATTCACAGACCTACCAGCTCTCCTCCTCTGAGTGTCAAAGGATCACTGCAATCTCAGCTTGGATGGATATTCTGGGATTCAAGTCAAAATATTGTGTTTTGCTTTGCCTTTGATCAGTCTTCTGTAGGATGCCATAGAGCCTCATGGTCTATCCCTACCTCACCCAAGAATAAGTCCTGAATAACTTATAGTGTATACAAATTTGTATTATTGCTTTCTTGGGGTGGGTGAGAGGGAAAGGCTCTTGTGCTTAACAGCGACATAACAGGCCGGAAGTTAACATTTTAAGCTTCCCTCTTTCCAGCACATGACAGCAAATCCTTATTTGGAATTTGTTACCAAGTAACTAATTAGATAAATGCAAGTCCCAAAGAAATAATTAGTTGCAGTTAATAGTTAAAATATTGTAAAAGTTGCTTTTTTTCTATTTCACAAAAAAAAACAACCCTAAAGTATCTATCTAATCAGTTACTATAAAGGCCATCTGAATATTATCAAGGTGCTGGCTAGCACATGAAGTATGGGATATTCTTCCTCCACATTTAGTGAAGCC